AAGTCTCTTGTTTCTAACAGGTCGTTGATTGACATTCAGATCAGTATTTTGGACACTTGCATCATTCGCAACATTAACAGGTGCAGAACTACAATCACTCTCTGACTTACTATCAGCATTTGTATCAAGTTTCATTTCAGAGTTATCATCAAGAACTTCATCATCAACAATAGATTGTGACTCATTACATTGTAAATCATTTGATGTACACATACTCTCAATCTCTCTCTCATTAAATTTCTTTAAATGAGTAACATTTCGCTTGTATTGTACCCCTTGATCTGATTCCACAATTGCACTGTTGCCATTCATCTTAACAACTTTAAAAGGTGACTTGTTAAATGGAGTAGACAACTTATTTTCACGGTCTTGTTTCACAAGAACTTGGTCACCTGCACGAATATCGGTTTCGGCTGCCATACGACGTTTATCTGAATACATTTTACCCTTCTCCTTCCTTTCTGCATCGCGGTCGCGTACTTCAAGGTCATCAACATTATAGTCAAAAAGCTCAGGCAACTTCGTGCGGAGTTTACGCCCGAAAAGTAACTGAGACGGACAAACACCAGTTGTCGAATGTGGTGTATTTCGATACATCACAAGAAATTTGTCAAGTTCAGATTTCCAATCTCGGCCTTCGGCAAATGCAATCCGAACACGTTTCATAATTGACCTATTCTGTCGCTCAACCTCGCCGTTTGCCTGTGGCCATAGAGGGGTTGTTTTATGATGAACAATGCCATTTTCGAACATGTAATTCTTAAAATGTTCGCTAACAAACTGTGGACCATTGTCAGTGTGGATTGAATACGGCAATCCATGAGTTAAACAGAACTTCGATATGAGACCTGTTATGTTCTCTGACGAAATATTTTTCGTAATCGCAACCTCAAAATATCAACTGTAATAGTCTACAAGCACAAATATATACTCTTTACTTGGCAACGGCCCTAAAAGATCAGCGGCAAGATGTTGCCATGGTGCGGAAGGCAATTCAGTGCGCTTCATCGGTTCAGGTTTACTCGGTTGACCCACTAACTGGCAACCATAACAACTTTTGCAAAATTTTTCAACACTTTTATCCAACCCCGGCCACCATACTTTACTTCTAAGCAGTGATTTCATTGCAACAATGCCAGGATGGCCTTCATGCGCAAGCTCAAGAACCTGATTACGCAACTGTAAGGGTATAACAATTCGCGTACCACGCAATACTAACTTACCAATCGAACACAACTCAGTACGCACTGGCAAATATTGCTTAAATTCCATACGATGCCATTGCTGGCTTACAAGACACTCTCTTATAGCACACAGTTCTGGATCATTCTCTGACACTCTCTCGATCTCACGTGTTGTCATCGCCATCGGGGTAGCTTCTTTAGCTACAAACCTCACATAAGCATCCTCTAAATCAAGCGACTTTTGAGCAGGGTCATTCTTAACAAGACGCGAAAGTGTATCTGCGATATTCCTTGGACCAGGGATGTACCGAACTTTAAATGTGTATGGTTGCATTCGCAGCACCCATCGTTCTATTCTAGCACAAACTTTCGACTTCGGAGAATATATACATTCAAGCGGCTTGTGATCAGTGAGTAGCTCAAACTCTGTACCGTACAAATAAACATGAAACCTTTCGCACGCCCAAACTAAGGCTAGGGCCTCTTTCTCTGTCTGCGAATAGCGACGTTCCGTATCACTTAAACTACGGCTCGCGTAAGAAAGAACCCGATGTTCACCATTTTGCTCTTGCACCAGCACCGCCCCGAGTCCTACAGGACTAGCATCAGCTATGACTTTAGTCGGCGCAGATTTGTCATAGAAACCCAACGTTTTGGCATCTGCCAGATGATGCTTCAATTCTACAAATGACTCTTGTTCAGATTTTCCCCATCTAAAAACTGAATTCTTGCGCGTCAACTCTCGTAGCGGAGCTGCTACCGTTGCTAGATCTGGAATACATCTTTAACTATAGTTAACAAGCCCTAAGAAACTGCGCACTTCACTCGAAGTTTTCGGTTCGCGTGCTTCGACAACGGCTTTGACTTTAGCATCAGACGGAGCTATGCCACGACCAGACAAAACATGACCCATAAATACAACTTCTGACATATTCAACTCACATTTGTCCCTGTTAAGGGTAAGCCCTTTTCATACAACACTCTCACAACATTTTCGAGACATCTATCATGTTTTTCTTGACTACTTGCATGTACAATGATATCATCCATAATATTGTGCACCCCCTCACACCCTTGCAACACTTGTTGCATGACCTTTTGATACATTTCTGGGGCACAACTAATGCCAAACATAAGACGTTTGTATCTAAATAAACCCTTATGTGTTACAAAAGTAGTAATTTCTCGAGATTCTGGTTTTAACTCAATCTGGTGATATGCCCAAGTAACATCAAGTTTGCTAAAAACAGTACTACCATTCATTTCATGCAAAATTTCATCAATTGTCGGAATAGGGTGACGGACTCGTTGCACAGCAGTATTGGCCTGGCGCATGTCAACACAGAGTCGAATGTCATCACCTGAATGTTTGGGTACACAAACAACTGGAGACACCCACGCACATGGCTTGTCAACGCGTTCAATGATGTCCAAATCGAGTAGCTCATCCAACTTCCTGTCGAGTTTGTCACGCAAACTGTAGGGTATACGTCTCATAGGCTGTATTACTGGCTCAACATCTGGGTCGATTGGTATTTCTAGTTGAAAGGATTTCAGCTTTCCTACACCTTTGAAGCCATTAGGGTATTTCTCAAAAACAGTTCTGTTGTCCAGATTGACAGCTTCACTAACACTGCTAACGATCTGTAACACGCCCAACTGCACAGCTGTATCTCGACCAAGTAAGGCTTGTCCTTCTCCCTTAATGACCACGAATTCCACATCCGGAATGATGGTTTGGTTGTATTTCACAGTTGCTGTGAAGATCCCAGCCACTTTCAGAGGTTGTTGACTTCCATAAGCATAGAGTTTTTTCTCAACTTTGGACGAAACACAGTTTATGTGGTTTTTCTTCAGATAGTTCCATAATGGCATTCCCATTATATTACAGCTCGCCCCTGAGTCAATAATCATGCTGAGGTCAACATTACCAACGTTCACAACCGGGCTGTCATTTAACACAGAATTTTGGTGGACACGAAATGCGTACACTTTGTCTTCATCACTCTGGCCTGACTGGTCCGTAATGTGATGAATTTTCCCTGGTTTCCGCTTTTCTCCACGGTCTTTGGTTTTACACATTTTCTCAAAATGTCCAGTCTGCTTACACTTATGACACTTCTTTCCCCTTGCGGGGCATTTAGGGTCATTCCGCAAGTGTCCTTCATAACCACAACTAAAACATTTACTGTTTGTCTTTTTCGCAAAATGTTTCTTGTTTTGTACACTGACCTTGTTTACAACACCGGTTATGGCCCCTTGCGCGCGACCTTCAATTGACGTGGCTTGCCTCTCAGAGTCTTCCAGGGCTCTTGCGATTTCTCGGACTTGAGTAAGGGTAAGGTTCCTACCTTTTTCTAGTAATTTCCGGCGTAAGTTATGACGAACACACTTGTCAATGATTTGGTCACGTATTCTCTCATCAATCGCATCCCGGTTCCCGAATTCACAGGTTTCTGCTCTCTGGCGTAAGCGAGTAATATACTGTTCAATAGTTTCATGTTCTAACTGAGCCATACTTCTAAATACAGACCTCTCGTATGGAACATTTGCCTGAGGTTTGAAGTATTTGTCCAAGGAGTTCACGGCTTTGGCGTACTCATCCTCTCCTTCTCCCTCCGGTAATGTAAAGAATATATCTTGCACTTCCATTCCCGCTGTATGGAGAAGCAACGCTTTAGCTTGATCAGCTTCCTTTACGCCTTTGCCTTTAGCGTAGAGTTCGAATGCCCGACGCCATCTTTTCCATTTTGATGCAATGCCTGTCACATCTGCAACATCAAAATGCGGGATTGCTTGCACATCTGGAACCAAAACACTGGCCATCGTAATTTCTCGAAGTTAAATATCCTCGTCGCCAATTTTATGTAGCGTTCCACCGGCTACACATACGGATTAAACCAGATTATAAAACACTCGTCATTGAAGACAACATCCATTTATTGAACCGGAACTAAGACAAAGACAAGGGCAATAACTCTATATATAGAAACGCATACAAGATAGAGTTATCTTCCGTACATAAAGTAATTACACAAAACTACAAACTCTACAGAGAGAAGACCCAGGAGTAACAAAATTAATGAAAAACGGCTATAAAGGAGTGGATTTGTGCATCATTTGACTCGTACGGCAATATTCAGGTTCATATTCAAATAAAATCAAACATGTTTACTTGAATATTTACCCATTTTACATTCACCTACAACACAGTCATTGGCTGGATTTTGAAAAAAAAGTATAAATCAATGATATTTTTAAATTCTTTTCATGAGCCACTTTTCCTGCCGAATCGCCATCTTAAGCGCCCACTTTCTTTTATTCAAAGATACACCTACAGTTGAAGAATTATTGTAATATGGCACAAAAAGAGACTTAATCAAGGATCATTATTCTATTTATTGCTGTTTTAAAGTCTGAACTGCTACTTATCTTTTCCTTTGTTATAAGTATAAATCAGTAGAGCTACGTACACTACATTTTCGACAGGGACTTCTTTTTAATATAATGAGTCGGGTATTCAAAACAATAACTCAAATAAAATTATGTTTAAATTGTTTTATATGAGTCAAAGCAAAAAGGATTACAACCAAGTCTTTCCGACTCACTTAAATGAAGAGACATTGGAATGTCTTTTGATAAATGAATATGTGGTAGCTTTTTAAATGATATAGTGTAGATTAACACTACCGATAAAAAATGGCTTGTTCAGTAAGCTCTATGGAGATTTAAATATGTCAACGGGTATATATATACAAACGATCTCATTGTCTAAAAATAAATCATGGTATAAAAATAACTTTAAAAATTTTACAGGAAAGTACCGATTTTGTCCATTAGAGACATGGTTTCCCTAGGAGTGATTGCAGGCTTATTTTTTGGAGGAGCCTTTTTAATTCAAAAGGGTGAGTTAAAACTAATGAATTGCCTAAAAATTAAACCAAAAAAATTAAAAAGTAGAAACAGTATACTGGATATGTCATTTCATACAGTAAATGCCTGCTGAAACTTTAAATGTATGTGGATTTGTTTTTTGCATGGTTTCTTTTTGATCGTGTTTTGAATATTCGATTTAAATTCTGTAATTGGTAGAGTCAATGAAAAAGAAGAACTATTAAGCTTCATTCTGAATATTAATATTACTAGAAGTATAAGATTTGTTTAGTTTCATATAATTTTTTTCTGTTCAATTCATTGAATACACTACCCTTCAACTCCATTCAATTAAAACAAAGCGGATAGGAGTTGAAGGGTAGGGTACATGTACGACTGTATGCATGTCGGAATAATAAAAAAACCCAAACAACTATTTGCTCAGGTGTCACATCGCACACCTGAACACCGACTAAGGAGAAACGTAGACATGAAATTAATGAAACCCGAATCGGTGAATGCATAAACAAAAAAAAAATGCAGTCGACTTTTCGAAATAATTCTACTTTTTTTTCATTATTATTTCGAGTATTAACAGTATGTAGTACAAGTATTTATATGTAAGTAGAAAACTGATCCTTACTTTGGTAAAAAGTTGTTTAAAATAAATAAAACTTTTCTTTCTTATAAAGGTGTTGTAGGAACTATCCTCAATTCCGATACACTTTCTGAGGGAATTTGTCACTCATCGGAACTGAAAGTTGAGATCGGGTCGCCATGTGGAATAGAAAGCAGCACAATCCACATTGCCTCCATTCTAATAGGTGTTTGTAGACATATTAATGGCAATTTGTCATGCTTTCTTGATTCTATGGATTATCTGTACGATAACAGCAGTGGGAGTTTGACCATTAATACTACATTTAACCACACAATCCACGCAGGTTATACCTTTTCGACGAGTATAACCTGTTTCAACGGTAGCAGTTTCCGTGATGAAATTCTCCTCAAACCGTGTCGTAAGTAATATCATGTTTTTAATATTCAATTATTCATATTTTTCCTACAATTTTTGTTTAATTTAAGGATGTAAAATGAAAATAAAAACGTGAAGCATGCATTGATAAATATAGTATGTATCGTCCGAGTTTGAAATATATACATGTAATATATCCAAAAATATAAAGAAATCGTCAGGAATGTGATGTGAAAAGTCGAAATGGTAATTACACAAGTAATTCTATAATATAACTTCAGAAAAGCATATCACAAAAGCATATAGCATTTTATAGTAATTTTAAGATATATGTTTTTAATCAGTTTCTGGATTCAATTCAACTGCCTACTATAACAACACGCATGTCACGATTTCCTGTGAGCATACAGCATTCAGATTCTCCACAACGGGTATACGTATTGTTGGCGATAACGATTTGGAACACTGTACCTGGAAAAATCAAACGAACGAATGTCACGGAGATGCTAAAGGTATTTTTTTATTCAATTCCCCCTATGAATTTACAACTGAAAAAAAAATCTATAATGAGCGGTGCTGAAAATGTGTAATCCCTGTACAGCTTATTTGAATATTAAGAAAATTTAATACAGGTTTAGCAGTTTATATTGAAAGGAAAAATCTCTCTGAATTTTGCCAAATGCAAAAGATTTAACTCACCTACATGTAGAAGTTTGGGTATCTGCACTATTATTGCAATTTGTTCGTAGGTGCTACAAATACGATTACTATAATATTTAAATCAGGCATAAAGAAACAGTTGTAGTTTATCTTTTAAATTGAATATCCTTTCGTTACACTTGAACAGTTTTTTTAAGCTCGGCTCGGGTGAGGTTTTCTGATCACATTTTATCCGTTGTCCGTCCGTCTGTAAACTTTTCACATTTTCTTCTCAAGAACCACTGGGCCAATTTTGACCAAACTTGGTACAAAGCATCCTTTGGTTAAGGGAAATTTAAATCGTTTAAATGAAGGGCTAAGTCCCCTCATAAGGGTAGATAATCAAGAAAAGAAAAAATAGGGTTGGGTCATTAAAAATCTTTTTCTGAAGAACCACTGGGCCAGGAAAGCTGAAACTTATTTGGAGGCATCCAGGGGTAGTGTAAATTCTAAATTATACAAATCATGACCCCAGGGGTTAGGAATCAAGGTTTTAAATAGAAATATCTAGGAAACAAGAGGCCCACGGGCCTAAAAGGTCACCTCAGTATCATGTACTAACTTTCCAACAATTGAACTGTTTCTTGTTTTAAATCAAAGGCCATGAAATTCAAAATTTTGAAAGAAGCACTATAGCTTATCATAACTATATCATAACTATACACTAAGTTTGTTTACTTTTGTTACTTAATACCCAGAGATTAATCAAAGTAACAAAGAGAAAATGCATTTCCACTTTATAACCAGTTGTGCACCCCATCCCACAGGAACCACTGACCCTGGGGGCATATATTTCAAAATTCTGGGGCCCTGAAATTAACCATTTTGGAAGAGGCACCTTTCATCATCATTAATATGTACTTAGAACATTGGCATGATACCTAGGAGCAGGGGAAAAGGATTTCGAAGAGTTCATTCATTTTCACTATATAATCATGAGAGCACCGCCCTAAGACCCAAACCTCTGACCCTAGGGCCCAGAGATTCATAAATCTGGAAGAGGCATCCTTCCTTATCATAAATATGTACATAGTTCATTGGTTTAATACTCAGAAGCAGGGAAGAAGATTTTTAAAGAATTAATGTATTTTCACTTTATAATCAATACAGCCCTACCCTAACACCAGAACCCCTGACCCAAAGGCCATGAAATTCATATTTTGGGGAAGACACTTTTTTATAACATAACTAAGTACTTGTTAAGTTTATTTAATAATCAGGAGCAGAGAAGACGTTTAAAGAATAAATGTATTTTCTGTGTATGATCAATAATAAAGCTCCACCCTAACACCAGAACCCCCAACCCAGGTGCCATGAAAATCACAATTTTAGAAGAGACATTCTTGGTCATCATAACTATGTACTTGGTTAGTTTTATACCCTGGAGCAGAGAGGATTTTAAAAGAATTCATTGCATTTTCACTATTAATAAAGCCCCACCCTAACACCAGAACCCCTGACCCCAGGGCCATGAAATTCACAGTTATGGAAGAGGCAACCTTATTCAACATATTTGGTTTGTTTATTAAATAACCAGAAGCAAAGAAGTAGATCTTCAAAAAAAAATAATGCATTTTACTATCTAATCTATATAGCCCCGCCCTAGCAACTAAGAACCCCTAACCCTGGGGTCATGAAATTCACAATTTTGGACAAGGCAGTCTTATTGAACATAACTATGTACTTTTTTAGTTAATTCAATGCCCAGGAGCAGAGAAGAAGATTTTCAAAGAAATCATGCATTTTCACTATATAATCTATATATATGGACCCCTGATCCCAGGGCCATGAATTTCACACTTTTGATAAACGACTCAATTCTGATTACAATCAAGCAAACAATCTGACTGATTGATGTCCAGGAGTAAAGAGTAAAGAAGAAGATTTTTAAAGATTGCATTAATTTTAGAGGCTTTGGCCCCACCAATAAGGACCAGGGGGACAGGGACCATGAAATTCACAATTTTTGTTTCCTTTCACCCATAGATGCTGTATTCCAAATTTGGTTGAAATTGGTTCAGTGGTTCCAGAGACGAAGATAAAAGTGTTCAAAAGTTAAAAACGACCGATGTACGACAGACGATGACAATGAAAACAGATACATAAAAATATTTAACAAGAGACCCACGGGCCTTATAGGTCACCTGAGTATTATGTAACAACTTTCAAACAATTAAATTTGGTTCGTGTTTTAAACCAGAGGCTATGAAATTCGCAATTTTCAAAGAGGCACCATTGCTTATCATAATTATAGACTTAGCATGCTTAGTCTATTTACTTAATACCCAGAGGTAGATCAGAGTAACAAAGAGAAAATGCATTTCCACTTTATAACCAGTTGTGCACCCCATCCCACAGGAACCACTGACCCTGGGGGCATATATTTCAAAATTCTGGGGCCCTGAAATTAACCATTTTGGAAGAGGCACCTTTCATCATCATTAATATGTACTTAGAACATTGGCATGATACCTAGGAGCAGGGGAAAAGGATTTCGAAGAGTTCATTCATTTTCACTATATAATCATGAGAGCACCGCCCTAAGACCCAAACCTCTGACCCTAGGGCCCAGAGATTCATAAATCTGGAAGAGGCATCCTTCCTTATCATAAATATGTACATAGTTCATTGGTTTAATACTCAGAAGCAGGGAAGAAGATTTTTAAAGAATTAATGTATTTTCACTTTATAATCAATACAGCCCTACCCTAACACCAGAACCCCTGACCCAAAGGCCATGAAATTCATATTTTGGGGAAGACACTTTTTTATAACATAACTAAGTACTTGTTAAGTTTATTTAATAATCAGGAGCAGAGAAGACGTTTAAAGAATAAATGTATTTTCTGTGTATGATCAATAATAAAGCTCCACCCTAACACCAGAACCCCCAACCCAGGTGCCATGAAAATCACAATTTTAGAAGAGACATTCTTGGTCATCATAACTATGTACTTGGTTAGTTTTATACCCTGGAGCAGAGAGGATTTTAAAAGAATTCATTGCATTTTCACTATTAATAAAGCCCCACCCTAACACCAGAACCCCTGACCCCAGGGCCATGAAAGTCACAGTTATGGAAGAGGCAACCTTATTCAACATATTTGGTTTGTTTATTAAATAACCAGAAGCAAAGAAGTAGATCTTCAAAAAAAAATAATGCATTTTCACTATCTAATCTATATAGCCCCGCCCTAGCAACTAAGAACCCCTAACCCTGGGGTCATGAAATTCACAATTTTGGACGAGGCAGTCTTATTGAACATAACTATGTACTTTTTTAGTTAATTCAATGCCCAGGAACAGAGAAGAAGATTTTCAAAGAAATCATGCATTTTCACTATATAATCTATATATATGGACCCCTGATCCCAGGGCCATGAATTTCACACTTTTGGTAGAGGACTCAATGCGGATTACAAGCATGCAAACAGTTTGACTGATTGATGTCCAGGAGTAAAGAGTAAAGAAGAAGATTTTTAAAGATTGCATTAATTTTAGAGGCTTTGGCCCCACCAATAAGGACCAGGGGGACAGGGACCATGAAATTCACAATTTTTGTTTCCTTTCACCCATAGATGCTGTATTCCAAATTTGGTTGAAATTGGTTCAGTGGTTCCAGAGACGAAGATAAAAGTGTTCAAAAGTTAAAAACGACCGATGTACGACAGACGATGACGGATGAAAACAGATACATAAAAATATTTAACAAGAGACCCACGGGCCTTATAGGTCACCTGAGTATTATGTAACAACTTTCAAACAATTAAATTTGGTTCGTGTTTTAAACCAGAGGCTATGAAATTCGCAATTTTCAAAGAGGCACCATTGCTTATCATAATTATAGACTTAGCATGCTTAGTCTATTTACTTAATATCCAAAGGTAGATCAGAGTAACAAAGGGAAAAAGCACTTCCACTTTATAACCAGTTATGCACACCCTCCCTAAGGAACCACTGACCTCGGGGCCACATATTTCAAAATTTTGCAAATTTTATCATTAAATGGTTGATTTATACCAAAGAGCAGATTTCAAAGCATTAATTTATTTTCAGACTATGGACCCCCCCCCCCCAACCCCTGACCCAGGAGGGGGGGGGCGGGCATAAAAAATAACCATTTTGCTAGATACACCTTTCTTCATCATAAATATATATTCTTGGATCATTGGCATAAAACCCAGGAGCAAAGGAAAGAATTTCAAAGATTTAATGTATTAAATTTTCACTATATAATCATATCGGCCCTAACACCAGAACCCCTGACCCTGGGGCCATAAAATTCACAATTTTGGAAGAGGCACTCATGCTTATCATAACTTTATACTAAGTTAGTTTATTTAATACCCAGGGGCAGAGAAGATTTCCAAAGAATTAATGCATTTTCACTATATGAGCAATAGAGCCCGGCCCTAACACCAGAAGCCCTGACCCTGGGGCCACAAAATTCATAATTTTGGAAGAGGCATTCTTGCTTATCATAACTATGTACTTAGTTTTTTTAATACCCAGAAGCAGAGAAGAAGATTTTCAAGAATAAATGCATTATCACTATATAATTTATATAGCCCGGCCCTAACACCAGAACCCCTGACCCTGGGGCCATAAAATTCACAATTTTGGAAAAGGCACTCTTGCTCATCATAACTATGTACTTGGTTAGTTTACTTAATACCCAGGAGCAGAGAAGAAAATTTTCAAAGAAATAATGCATTTTCACTATATAATCTATATAGCCCCGCCCTAGCACTACAGCCCCTGACCTTGGGGCCATGAATTTCACAATCTTGGTAGAGGGTTTGCCTGCATGATGTCTAAGAGTAAAGAAGAAGTTTTTTAGGATTGCAATAATTTTTGTTCCCCTTCACCCATAGATGCTGTATACCAAATTTGGTTGAAATTGGTTGAGTTGTTTCAGAGAAGAAGCTGAAAATGTTCAAATGTTAACACACAACGACGGACGAAAACGGATAGCAATAGGTGACCTGAGTTACTCAGGTGACCTAAAAATCTTCTTCTCAAGAGCCACTGGGCCAGAAAAGCCGAATCTTATGTGGAAGCATCCTGGGGTAGTGTAAATTCTAAATTGTTCAAATCATGACCCCCGGGGGTTGGGCGGGGCCATACTGGGGAATCAAAGTTTTACATGGAAATATATAGGAACAATCTTTGAAAATCTTTTTCTCAAGAACCACTGGACCAGAAAAGCTGAAACTTGTGTGGAAGAATCCTGGGGTAGTGTAGATTTCAAATTGTCTAAATTATGATCAGTGGGGTAGGTTGTGGTCACAATATGTATTACAAGGGGGAAATCTGGTAAAGAACAGAATGGTCAAAGCTTCTCAGGTGAGCGATGTCGCCCATGAACCTCTTGTTATATAAACGCTATAAAATAGTTTCGATTCTTAATATTCTATTAAATCATTGCTACATGTACTGTTTTACATTCGAAATAAAAATATTAGGTATGCTTTTTGTGTTTTTTTATGTCTTATTACAAATTACTTTGACAGCAGTAAGCGTGTTGTAATTAGCTTCAAATCTCGAGACTAGCATAAATAGCTCATCCCAAAAAAACAACTTTGAAACACTGTCATTTCGGCGGCAATGCTAGTTGGTCCTATCAAATATAGTTGGATGTCAAAGGGATTTCGGGAAAACGAGGCTTTTATTTCATTTTAGATTAGAGTTTAAAAATTCTCGTAAAGACGTTAAACAACATACATTTACAATCAATCAATCTTAATGACAGATTGGAGTTGCTAACAAGGTCATTGTATCGACAAAACAAAATCATATATTTTCTTTTATCTTTTGATAACTGATGACGATTTACATTTTAGCTCTTCCAAATGGTGTGAAATTTACTTCTCTATATACCCAGAAAATGAAGGAAATGAACATTACATGCAAGTTTGACGGGCTGTCCGTGGATATCGTTCCTCAGCTACAGTCAACAGTTAACACAACGCCTAGTACCACAAGGGCACCATGTACGACATGATTTACATCAATAATTACCAATTTAATTAAGGATTTCTATTTAGATCTATATAAAAATATTTATAACGAATCGCAATGATTATAACGGGGGGAAAATGAGGAAATGATTTTTTCACAGTATTTTTGTACTATAGGAAAAAAGTTTTCATTCATATGATTTTCTATATTTTTTTTTTCCAGCGAGCTCTTCTTCATCACAAAGCCAAGATAACGGACAAACGAAAGTGACCAGCTTTGCTTTGATGATCTTTATTTTGTGTATCGTGTATTTTCTTCAAAGAGATATATTTATTTGAAAACTGACCAAAAGAAGGATTTTTATATATCCCTCGTGATGTATACGTCTAAGGAACCCTCCGCTTGGCGTTTCAATCATGTCCTTCCGAAACGATTTTGTGTAAGGATTCCGATAGTCTTGGAATCGTTGTGCTGTGGAAACATTTTCAATTCATTCAAGAAGTTAACAAGAACAAGAAGAAGGACAATCTGAATATGTAACATTCCTCTTGGAGAAGATGGGAAACTTTGCCGGAGAGAAGAATCAATTCATCAGCTGATTCAGGAGTATCAATAATACATGTAATAGATATTGTCGTTTTTGATTATGTCGTTCACTCGTAACACCAATTTTGATTATACAAAAGTTTCAAATAAACATACCTTTCATATTCTTGCTGGATTTATATTTAAATTTAATTTGAGGCAAGCCAATTTCTCGCGTGATGTAAATTACATAGTGAGTATCAAGAACGCTCTTAGGACCATCATGATGATTCCTAAATTATTTTTTTTTATTGCAAAGACTGAAATGTTAACAAAGTAGAAATTTGGTTTAAAAAAAAGTTATTATAAGATAATTCAATTTGTATGCGTTTTCTCTGTGATAACGCTTTGAAAGTTTCGGGAGTTCATTTCTTAATTTAATGAAACCGGCCTGTAAATTTCGCCAAGCGAAAGGTCATGAGCTTAAGAGGCTTACAAACCTGTTTACACATATGGTTGTCTCTCAGTATTTTTGATTAGATTTGTCCGTGAGATTTGGCATTTGTGTGTAAGATTTCACTTTCCATCAATTTTAAATATATAAATGGAGAACAACTGCTTTTTTGATTACTTAAACATGGTTAAATAACGTGATCTTGATCATTTTATAATACGGCGTTTGAGCAAACCGACATAATTAAGAATTCGAATTTTTTTTTAGCGATTAAAAAAGTATGAAACTGAGACAGATCATAACGAAAACTAACTTCTCAATTCTAAACAAGTCTATTTCTTTTTTCCGAATTTCATAATAGCAAAACGTGAGACGTATTTTGGACTAAAAATCCGTACAAAATACGGCGAAATCGTAAGAGTAAACAGGTCTGGGCTTAATATGCATGCAAATCTTTTGCGGCAGTAGGTGGGGACTATTGCAATTGATATGAGGGGTCATTTAAATCGATTAACATTTTATGAAACCAAAATTTACAACTTTAATGTACAATGTAATAAAAATATATGGAATCACTATCTAGTCTGTTTGGTGTATCTAGGACAATAACGATCGTTAAAAACGATATAGAGATAATTATGAATACTGTATACAGGGTTATTTTCGCCCTTTCACACTCGCAAAGAATTTAACCCCGTTTTAAATTCGCCCAGTCACAGTTTTGTTTAAGAAAATAAACTGTATTCATTGAATTCGCCCCGTTTTAAATTCGCCCAAATGTTAGTAGGGTGAAAGGGGCGAAAATAAAATGGGGGCGAAAATTTCCCTGTTTACAGTAACTAGTTTCGCCTGGTTTTTTTTTTTTTTTTTTTTTTTGTTTTTGTTTTTGTTTTTTTTTGGTTTTCCGTCATATGTATTTGGGATTTGATAATATTCCCCACATTGTTTGATTAACTATTATGATTAACAGTGAAGACATGTGTACCCGATAAGAATCCTACATGCTCTTATCATACCCCACCCCGTTTAGGTTAGATCTGGGCTACAAATGCATTTAAGCTTTCAGAGGCTAGAATATTTTTATTAATCCTCCCTACAGTACTTAGGTGAGCGATGTGGCCCCTGGTCCTGTTGTTTTGGTACGCTAGGGCATCAACAATTGTTGAGAACGTGCATTATTTAGAGCGGGCGAAGTACTGTGAAATCACTAATTTTCGCAGGGTTTAATTTTCGTTGTTTTCGAGGTATCAAGAAAGCCACGAGTTCATATCCTTCTCGAAATGTAATATTTACATGTACAAACTGGCTGTCGTATTTATCTACCATCGATACACTTGTACGGAACATGCACATGAATGCTTTTAAAGCTTTCATTTCGAATTTCTTCGTCCCTGCAGTTTAAACAAGAATAGATATGGGTTACCCCATATCCAAAGATATTCGACTTTTAGATTTTATATGTTTAACAGTGTTTAATAACGTTATAAAAAATAAAACTGCACTGTCTAGTTATATTTCGTGAGACCGTAGCATTACGGTCACCCAGTCTCCTAACCATGCTAACAAACAGTACACATACCTATGTCCGCAAGACCAGTTAGTCTTGGTCTATACACACGTACGATGGTGTTGTCAAACGGACTCCCGCGAACAGAGAAGTTACGATGGCAGACAGAACTTTTTTCATAATTAGATCACATGAATACAAATTTTGATTCATAAAAATTAAACGACTGTCAGTTTCGAAATCCCCGGCCAGTTCGGGCTACACAGTTTACAGATACTCTCCCGATGTGTAGTTTGTCTACACACGTACAGGAATCTGCTCAGGGATTGAAAATTCCGTCATTTAATATACTACACACACAGAATTATTATTTTTTTCTCTTAGATGAAACTATATGATAATTAACGAACAATTAACATGATTTTACTACAGTTGTTGATATTAGTATAATCAATTCATCAGTGAAAAAATATCAACCGAAGAATGACCTATATATTCTCTGTTATCAAACCTGTTAAAAAAAAGCTGAGGAGGGAGCGAGCGTAGTAATATTAACATATTTTATTTGCATTTAGGGGGGAAAGTGGTCTTTGGTGGAAAAATTAACATTAATTTTTTTTTTTATACGTATGACATACACAACATTATTCTTATCATGAACAATTATGTTGTATCTACTTATTAATGATGGAACTATTTTCGTCGGAACAATTTGTGTGAGTCGCCGCTGAATACAGTAATATATCTTGCACTAATAGTATGCATTGATCGAATATATTAAAAAGTATCGATGACAGTAATAAAAATATTTTTATTCGTCTCTTATATCTTAAACCCAGTTTGTGCTTTATGTAAAGGAAAGTATAGATGATCATTACTGGTATGTGACATGGTATGTTCATCAGAAAATCATGTCAAAGACGCGTGACACCTCCGTGTTTACACGGTAGACATGCAGCGATAATTGATTTACTGACAACAAATACTGAGTATCCTTCAAATTTATTTTAAATGTATGAAAAAACAAAATGTTTGGACTTCTCCATGGGCAAGTAGATAAAATTTATAATTCGACAATTAAAATTATCAACAACAATAAAATTATTAGAATTTCAGGTTTGTTCTGGTCAACACAATGAAAAAGTGTTGAAAATCAAATTAAACACGATTTTGATAAATCTTGTGTGCAATTTATTTAATTACCGCTACAAAATAACCATCGCTTTCTTCCTGTTCTATAAAATTGATCACTTGGTCCGAATACCAGAAATGGAGGTGCTTTTTTAAAGATTCCTTGTAATCGTAATTTATTGATATATCAAGCGGTTGTAATCGGTCAGTGCACGCTGCTAGTACACATATTTGCTTAATTAATATTGTTTTCCTTTAATAAATTAGTCAGTGCTTGTGTACGATGGGCCTTGCAAACATAAAATAGGCATATGTGGTCTGATTTAATCGGTCAAGGGGTAAAGTCTCGCAAACCTCAGGTAACATAGGGATTTAAGATTTTTTCAACATTGCGAAGCATCAAATCTACAGTGCTCCATTGTGACTCGGTGAACGTAATATCACTAGGCATTAGGAAATTCAACATCCTGTGGTAAAGAGCGGTCTGTTTCCTGCATAAATGAGTGATGGAGGTAAGAGGGTCCCAAACTTTGTAATTACCAGAAATTATTTGCCGTTTTTCCTCTATTCCCACCACAGTATCTTGTTGTGACCCTTTTTGCTTCATCGTTTAGTCCCCACCAACTGACATCCCGTCTGGTTCCTGTTTATAATTAAGTAATCTGGATCATTGTTATCCACTACAGTTTTGGTTATCCGTTGAAGAAAATTTTCTTTTGGTTATTGAGAATGAGACTGCATTGTTTTAACAGCTTTTGTTCCCTACCTCTTTGTAAACCCCATTCTACGTAATAATGATCTTGCATATTCTTTAAGATTTCAATATGGCCTCCATTTTTTATTCAGATTTTTGCTATCAAATTTTGTACTTTTTGCCTTTGCAAAAGCTGCAAGGACTCGGCGAATATTTACAACACCACAATATACGGACTTTTTTTGCGTGGCGAAGTGGTTAGAGCGTTTGCTCAAGAGTCGAGAGGTAATTTCACGGGTTCGAACTCCACTGTGGGACGTGGAGACCGGTCCTTCGGATGAGACCGTATAAACCGAGGTCCCGTGTCGCAGTAGGTGCTGGCACTGAAAATGGCCCTCAGTTCTGAGCATAGGATAAAATTTGCAGCTCTCCAAGGGCACGTGATTGCGTCTCCAAAAGAGTGAAAAATTCTCGAGAGTAACGTTAAACAATATACAATCAATCTGATCCAATTTTTTAAGATCATCGTCTAAAGTCCACAGTAGCAATGGTTTTGCTCGTGGAGATTTTGGCACTAATGAAAAATGAATTCGAAGGTCCCCTATTTAAATAAAATGAATAAATTATTCTACATTGAATTCTACAGGTATTTTGAAAAATTATTCCATTTCCCGCTTTTTTCCTGTTCGTATTTGAAAGGGGATGGATGTAAATTAAGGAATTGCAAGAAATTATCCCCCCCTTTATCTCGCTCATATTTCTGACGGTGGAGTCTGAACTATGTCGAAAAAAGATGAAAATTTTCTTGATGCTTGAGCGAAACCATGCTCAACGACATCAATAATTCGGTCAAATTGTCTACAGTTGTGTTTAAACAAAACCTGATTAGATATTCCTATAAGCCAAAGGTGAAATGATGACATTCATCCAGACATTGCTTCAAGTGGTAGGCTACGTTTGTACAGAGTGATACCATCAAACGCTATCCCTGTAGCTTGTCCTTGGACCGGTGATGGGGGCATAGCATAACAGCTGAAACATTCATCTCCGCAAGCTGCTGCTAACGATAGTACAGAAACATATATATCAATGTATGTTTACCATCTAAAATTAAGGTATGTAAAAAAAAAAAAAAGAAAATCACCCTTCTAAAATTTACAAATATAAACGCATACCAGGGACAGAATTCACTGTAATCAGCTGTTGGCAGTGGAACCTATTGTGGTGGTGTTATCTTTCATTCTTTGGTTGATTTTTTTTTTCTGCATTTCTTTCTTGTTCTTCATTTTTCTTTCTGCACCCTTTAGTGAAAATATTCCTTCGTACAAAATCAGTTCTACTGTGATGTTTTGATCTATGTCATCAAGCGTTTTAGTGACCCTTATTGTAATCATAATGGAATAACCTGACACCCCTTTCTAATAGACTGTCTCACTAGTATAAAAGTAAGAGACACTGACAGGCTGAGTCATTCCTGTTGCAGCGGAGCAGAAAATAGGGAGTCTTTATGACTAGAAAACAAACGTCCTGACGCATACAATTGATCAGTGGCCAGAATAGAACCAAAACTGTTCAATTGTATGATATAGTTTGGCAAGCCATAAGCCAAGGGTCTAACAATTTGTCAGGAAGATCACAGGAAACAGGGTGAGGGGCCCGAAAGAGCCGACTTGTCTTCGGTGCATCTGTTTCATTAGTAACATTTAAGAAG